AGAAGTAGTTACATATAACAGACAGTACTATTATATTTATATAGAAGTAGTTACATACAACAGACACTACTGTTCTATTTATATAGAAGTAGTTACATATAACAGACAGTACTATTATATTTATATAGAAGTAGTTACATACAACAGACAGTACTATTATATTTATATAGAAGTAGTTACATATAACAGACAATACTATTATATTTATATAGAAGTAGTTACATATAACAGACAGTACTATTATATTTATATAAAAGTAGTTACATACAACAGACAGTACTATTATATTTATATAGAAGTAGTTACATATAACAGACAATACTATCATATTTATATAGAAGTAGTTACATATAACAGACAATACTATCATATTTATATAGATGTACAACACACCATGAGATTAGTCTTAGCCACATACACACTTTGCCTTAAATCAACGTCTAGAAATGTCTAGAACATGCTAACGAATCAATCTAACAAACACACATATTCATCATTAAACCAAACTTCCTTCCTCACACGAGTTTGTGAGGATTATTACAGAAGTAATTAGAGGATTTTGACTGGTTAATCGATCAATTGTGTTGTTATCCTGTTCTCGTATCCAGGTGGAAAGCTTGTGGGGCTTGACATGGACTATCTGGTCGTTGCTAATGTTAAAAAATCCGGAGTTGTTTTTGAATGGCACGACTGCCCAAACTACAGTGGGAAGACTGGCAAAATCTTTCGACGTTTTAGAACCATTAGGAGGTACGATATCGTGTGTTTCTTTTCCTTTTTTTTTCTATAGTATACACAGTAGCTAAACCCATTAAGCCTAACAGTATCCTCATTAATATCTCTGAAAAAAAAAATAGTTTGAACATGTTCCCCATATTTAATAAATTTCGAAAAAATCTATCCTTCTGTATTTATTAGTGGTTTTTTTTCATCCTCAGTCATGACAGAAAGTTACAATTTATGTCGTAAACTTCACCTGTCACCTCATTAAAAGGTAAAAACACGAATGCCACTAATAACGACAAATAAGAATGTGATAAAACACCACAAATCCATTTTCTCAGTTAAATTTCAAAAATAATTGGACTTATAGTTACCCTAAAACAAGGTAATTAATCAGAGGCCTATCTAACGAGGTAAAGTGATCAGTTTTCAGATTCTAGTACTTTATTTTTTATTCTGGCGTTGTTTCAGCTGGAAATGTTTTATAAAAATCGTTCAAATAATTCTAAAACACACTGTTTGAAGCATTTCTTACTAAATAAGTATTTATTGGGATTTACTATCTAATATGATAAACGTGTTTCAGATTTCAATAAATCAATGCTATCCTCAACAATGTCATCAATGTCATCGACGACTCATTATTCAACTTTTATAATAAACGTTTCGGATTTCAATAAAACAATGCTATCCTCAAACATACAACAATGTCATCGACGACTCATTATTCAACTTTTATAATAAATGTTTCGGATTTCAATAAAACAATGCTATCCTCAAACATACAACAATGTCATCGACGACTCATTATTCAACTTTTATAATAAACGTTTCGGATTTCAATAAAACAATGCTATCCTCAACAATGTCATCAATGACACATTATTCGACTTTTGTAGAGCTGTGAATATTGTAATACATTGAAAGTCTTTGAAAAATAACAATGTACTCTTTCATTACCCGCTGCACATTAAATATATCGAAACGTTTAATAAGAAAAAAAAATGATACAAAGCCCTACAAAAGTATTCACCCCCTCTGAAAAGTTTCCACATTTTGTTGCTATCTGAGCTTACAGTCACGAAACTTTTAAATGGGACTCCATATTTAAAATCTTACACAATCTACTCCAAACTGAGAAACCTAAAAAAAAAAAAAAACGCTGATATTACGTAAGTTGGATTTTCATAGACAATTGAAATATTCGTAATTGAATAAATGTTCAACCCCTTTGGTACAACAACCCTAAATCAGTTCAGGTGCAAAATATTAGTTTGAAAGGTCACAAAATTAGTGTAATGGTCTCTGTCTGTGTGTAATCAAAGTGGTTTAACTTGACTTCAGAGTAAATGCATCTGTTCAAGCCACAACTCACATAGTGATAAGACAAACCAACCATGAAAATCATTGGAGTTTTCCAAACAAGTCAGGGATGAAATAGTAAAGAAGCACAGATCAGGAGAAGGTTACAAGAAAATTTCAAGGTCGCTTATTATCCCTTTGAGTACGGTGAAGTCCATCATTAAGAAGTGGAATGTGCTTCATACCACCCAGTCACTACCCACATCAGCCCTTCCAAACTAAGCAGTTAGGCAAGCAGGAAGCTGGTTAATGATGCCACTGTGAAGACAACAGTGACTTTGAAAGATTTGTAAAGTTCCATGTCTGAGATGGAAGTCACTGTTCATGTATCGACAATATCCTGGTTCCTACACAAAACTAGCCAGTATGGGTGAGTGGCAAGAAAGAAGCCATTACTGAAAAAGAACCATCTTAAATCTCGTATGGAGTTTACGACAAAGCATGTAAATGATTCTGCAGACACGTGGCAGAAGGTTTTGTGGTCACACGAGACAAAAATTAAGTTTTTGGTCTAAATTCAAAGCGATACGTTTGGCGCAAGCCTAACACAGTACATCACCCAGTCAACACCATCCCAAGTGTCAAGCATGGTGGTGGTAGTATCATGTTATGTGGATGTTTCTCATCAGCAGGAACTGGGAAGCTTGTCAGAATTGAGGGGAAGATGGATGGTGCAAAGTACAGGTGAATCCTAGAGGAAAACGTGCTAGAGTTATCCAAGAATCTAAAACTGGGTCGAAAATTCACATTTCAGCAGGACAATGACCCGAAGCACAAGGTCAAAGCCACACTGGTGTGGTTTCAAAAGAAGAAAGTGAATGTCCTGGAGTGGCCCAGTCAAATTCCTGACTTGAATACAATAAAAAATTTATGGCGAGACTTGAAGGTTGCAGTCCATCAAGGATCCCGAATGAACTTATCAGAAATAGAGCAATTTTACCAGGAAGAATGGGAAAAAATTACACCATCCTATTGTCCAAAGTTGGTAGAGACCAATCCAATAAGACTAACAGCAGTAATTGCTTCCACCAAGTATTAAATTAGGGGGGTGGAATACTTATGAAATCAGGAAATTTCAATTTATATATTTTCGTTACAGGATTTACTGACATTCAACCTCCTTCACACATAACAACGTTAAGGTTTGATCATTAGAGTTTTGAGTAAAAATATCAATTTAAAAAAGTGTTTACATTATTTGTATTTCATCAAAATGTGACATTATTGGTAGGGGGTGGGTGAATACCTTTGCAAGGCACTGTACTAATTTGCCATAATAAAAAACAAATGAAGAAGGCATAGGTTCATCATTAGCTGTGTTTGTTTTGTAGAGTAAAGCCACATTGGGTTATCTGCTGTGCCAACCGCGGGGAATCGAACCCAGGAATTTAGCGTTGTAAGTCCGTGAATGTACCGGTAGGTGTGTATATTTTTTCAATATAATTTATTTATATATTTTTTTTGCAGTTGACTTCAGTCTCGTCATTTTTGAAGCTATACTGAACGTGTTCTGGATTGTTTGTGGATTCGTTTTACTCTGTGGATATAAACTGGTAGGTATATATTACTTATCTATTTCCTTACGTGAAGTGAGATCTGTAGACGGCAAATTCTGATTTTACATTGATGCGCATGCGCAATGCCAACAGCAAGGGGATGATAACGAACGCCTATTTTTCGTGGATATTTTTGTTGTGGTTGAAAAAGAAAACGCCCTGGTTAGTTAGTTTGTTTCAAGTGGTCACGCAAAGCCGTTCATAACTGCGGAATGTTAAAACTAGAGAGAAGGCTGTTGGTCAACAAATTCCACTACTCACTAACTAATTAACTCTCTCTTTAAACACAAACTTGGCCCGGCACGGCCAGGTGGATAAGGCGCTCGACTCACAATCTGAGGGTCGCGGGTTCGAATCCGCATCCC